GTAGGGAAAAGTGCTGGTTCTCAGGTAACTCATGGCCCAGTGTCCATCAAAGGGAAAGAAACAAAATCTCTGCAAGCCAGACTGAAAAGATGCATGGTCTTGTTCTCCTCCTTTCTTCCCCTCCCTGTACTCAACTCTTCTCTCCTTCACCTTTGCTCCATCCTGCACTCTCCTCTTTGCTTCTGTCTTTACCATTCTTTCCCTTTATTACTATTTAATATGGGACAGGACTTGATTCAAACTAAAACCATCTATTTTGGTGAAAATATTTCTTCCAGTTCTGCTCTGAACCTACCAGCTCTTGTTTGAAGCCACATACTGGTGTGCTGACTAGGGACTTCCCAGACAGTGTGTCCAATCCAACTGCAACTGCCCGTTGCAGTGGTTCCTGTCATGGTGCTTTGCTTTGTACTTAGACCAGAAATACAGACCATCTGCAGTACAACCACACAGCATTTCAAAAATAAAAAACCTATTTCAGGAGACAGGGAAAACTGTCCGGAGCTGGTTTTGCATCACCTAGAGATAAAACAGGCACATCTAATTCCACAGCACAATAGTTGGAGACAATCTGCAACGTTACACAGAACTAGGAATTGGGGCAGCACACTGTAAGAGACGGTAAAACAACTGAGCCCACGGCAGATAAGGAATGGCATCTGGCAGCAGCAGTGTTTCTGACACAGCTTCTTTCATTGAGTCTGGTCAAAAGAGAAAAGCTCACCAGTCAGCATGAACTGATAGGCGTTGTCAGAGATGGAGAAGATGTGTGGAGGGGCCTCCTGGCGCTTCTTGCCTCGGTAGGCCAACACCACCTCCGGGTTGTACACCGGCAGCCACTTGTAGGGGTTGACAGTGACACAGAAGAGACCCGAGTAGGTCTGCAGGAAAAAAACAGATCAGAAGAGTCACTGAAGTCCATCTCCTGGCAGCTGGATTTTCTCCTTCGCCATGAGAGGGAACTTACATAGATCATCCAGGAGCTGTAGCGGTCCTTGAGGTTGTAGAGAACAGCAGGTTCATGCAGGTGAGTCAACATGGCCACATCCTCAATTCTGTCAAACTTAGGGGGGTTCATGGCATACACATCATCAGGTTTGACAGTAATCATCTGTAATTCAGAAAGAAAGAGTTAACCTTGACTCAGCAACTCTCGATGTTCCTTCTGTGCAGACACACCAGAGACACAAACACAGGGAAGTAATAACAGCTGTAAGGCTGCTCTAATTCAGATTTAGCTTTCTGTTTAACTGTGCAAAACAAGATATGGCTATTACAGGGCAGCCACTCTTGCCAGCCAGGAACTCTACAACACTGGCAAATGTACAGGACGTAAATTCACCATCCTGGAATTGCTACAACCACACAGACAGAATGTGTGCTGGACCAGATCTTCCTACACATTATTGCTTCTTATGAACTTCAGGTCATGCTGCTGCTAGTGGCTCTAACAGCCAGGGACACAACTGCTGGCCCGTCTACCTTTCAGCCTCCAAAACTCACACTGCACAGTGCTGGAGGGACAGGGCATTCACAGCACAGGATTCATCAACAGCAAACCCTTCCTTAGAACAGATTTGTTCCACTCCTGCCTGCTGCTGTTCATAATTAAGCAAAGGCTCTAGCCACAGCAAACAGCACTGTCTACTGGGCTCACATCGTGGGTGACCGTCCTGTCACACAGCCGGAGCCTGTGGATATGTTTGGGGCTGGGGAGCAGATGTGCAGGAAAGCAGATGTACACAGATGGCAGCAGCTTATATTGGCCACACCGAACCATGAAGGAGCTGGAAAATCCCATTGTCATTTCTCCAGACGGCTTTTCCTATTGCTTTTACCCATTGCTTTTTGCTGTAATTGCTGCTTCCATGGACTGCTCCAAGCTGACTAGTCCCGTTTAGGGAGAAACAGCATTACTGCAATCATATTTGATTCAGAAGGATTGAACACCATTTCCAAGCTTAGGTTCTGACTAGTGGAATGATCTTGGGCTTCTTTTGACAAAGCAGGAATTACAAGCAACGGTTTTCAAAAGCAGCTTTCTGACGTATGTCCCTAAATACCTTCCTAAAGCATTTGAACACTTGAGCAATTAGGATTCACAGAAAGTCTCCGTATAGCATAAGAGATCATGCATTAACTGCTACTCACAGGACGTATCTGGGAGACACTATAGTGGTTTCTAACATAATGTCAGTTCAGCGCTCAGAAGAGGGCAGGAAGCTCTAGAATATTACAAATTATTAGAAAAGAAAGGGAGAAAAGAGAGTGTTATGTAGGATGTGTCTGTGAGTTCATTCACACCTTCATTACTTATCGTACCTCCTAGAAAGGATATAGTTGTACTAGAAACGATCCAGAGAAGAGAAACAAAGATGGTCCCAGGTATGAATCAGCTTTTCTATGAGGAGGGCATAACTTGATTGGGATTTGAGGGTGAAAAGGAGATATTTTTGAAGTTTGCAAAGTCAGGAATGGCAGAGACAACCATGGCCAGAGCAAGGAAGAATTAGTCATGTTTTCTCCTTGTGAAAAAATAAGCAGAAATTACCAGGCTGCATGTTGCAGAAAAAGGAAGCATTTTACACGTACTCCAATTGTAAACTGGGGAGATCCTTCCCACAGGACACTACAGAGGCAAAAAGCCCAAACAGGTATAAAAAAGCCAGCCAACAGGAAAGCAGGTCCTTGTACCCAGCAGCCTGCTGCAGCCTCTGCCCAGTCACATACTGGTGACTGCTGGAGGTTGAGGGTGAACCAACGGGTGACTGCTTTATTCTTAATTTGCTTTATTCTTAAAAATCTGGTAGCGCCTACTGTCAAGATGTTGGTTGAGGTGGTTCTTACAAAAGTTATCAGGACACAAGTTGCTAAGACATTTCAGCGTTTTTGCAAGATTAACACCTTGGAGGCTCCTCTAGGAGGCTGTTTGCAGCCAGTGACAACGATAATAATCTCACACACAAAGGGGACTTTCAAAGTAGCTGCCTGCTGTGCTACCAGTAAAGGAAGGAATTTAAAAGTGGATATGTCAGTGTTAGGTGAGAAAGGGTTAAAAGCAGAGGTTGAGGAAAGCTAAGACTGGCAAGGCTACAACCCAACCTGTTTCAGAGCACTGCCTGATCTTTACAGCCTAAACCAAGAACAATTATCCAATGGATACCTTCATCTTAGCATCCAGAGCAATATCGTCCTCTGGAGGCTGTGTTGGTCCCAGTCAGAGGGCAGGGCAGATGCTGAGCAGGGAAGATTTCTCACCTGAGCTAGTCTAGTGTTCTCTGTGTTCCTTGTCCTCCCTAGCAGATGTCCTGGGCCCTCAGCAGGGCAGGGAGGAGGGCCAGGAGGAATGAACTTACTCTGCCATCCTCCGTCTCAACAGTTATCTTCCCATCCTGTGCAGCCTTGATCTTCCCTTTGGTGTACTCCACCTCAGGGTCAGCCACAAAGCAGTAGGTCTTGGAGTCAAACGGCTGGTTCTGGGCTTCCATTCTCTCCTTCTCTGATTTGCGCAGGTATGGTGCTGCCTCACCAAAAATCTCCATGCCAGCGTCTCTGCTCATAGCTGAAGCTGAAAGACAGACCAGTCCCCTGTGTGGTCCTTAGAGTCGGGCAGAGCGTAGCTGAACATCCAACAGCCCTCCCAAGCTGGGTACCTGAACACCCTGCCCATCTCTCAGCTGGAAGGAGGCATTTGCCTTTCAAAGCTGGAATGTACAAAAGCAGCGAAGAAGAGCTGCCACCCTTCACGGCCCCAAGGAAAGGGGATCCATGCCCAAAGGAGAGGGAGGGTTCCCGGGGGAAGTGTGGCAAAGGAAGGGATCTCTGAAAGATTCACACAGTCCTTAGTAAGACTGAAGCCCTGAAGCCTGTTTTTCTTCCAGTTCTCCTCTCCATTCATTATTTCTCCCAATCCATTTTAACACAGAGCCTGTCCGACTCCTCTGGCAGGCAGCTGTGGGGGACAGGAGTGGACACGTGCCATGGCCCATCAGAGCAGCTCATGCAGGGGAGAGAACAGGACCCTGCCCACACTGAGTGCAAGGGAAGAGCCAGCTCCTGCCAGCCTGGGCAAGCTATTAGTTTTTATGCCTTAAATTCTCACCTTAACAATCAGTCAACAGAAAGAAGGAAGGAACGGGCTGACATCTCTGATCTCTGAAAGAGAAAGAGCAGAAGGTCAGACTCCAGCTAAGCTACAGCCTCTCCAAAGGCCCGATACCTCTCACTTACAGACTGCGAGCGATCACTCCAGTTGAGGACCAGGGAAGTAAACCGCAGGTACCAGTCCTTCCCTACCCAAGGAATGGCCCAGCAGGGACTCAAGAGCACATTTCCCACCGCAGTGCTGCAGCCTCGCAGAGCTCCAGGCACGGGGAGCAGCACCTGCGGCAGGAGCCCTCCGCCCCGCTGCAAGTCGGTCACAGCACGGCGACGAGATCAGCCGGCGATCAGGAGCCACCAACAAGGGCTTTCTCCCCGACAGCTTTTATAGGCTCAGCCCTTCCCTTAGCTCGGCCCCTTCCCTATATTTGGAAGGGAGGGATCAGCACTCCCACCTGCTCCCCAGTTCGTGTTTGTTTTCTGCCATATACAGTATGTAAAGAAAGGAACCACTCTTTTCTCCAATTTTAGTAACTCTGGGACCTAACTGTGGTTTGTTGACTCTTTATTGTGAGAATTTCCTCTAGTGGGAACACTCTCTCCTGCCAGCTACGACCACGGCCGGCACTTCACCTGCTCTCACCTATATGTCAAAGAAATAATAGTCCAGAGAGACCTGCCCCAGCGCTCCCACTCTGGGAGTCTGGGCAGGGTTGCACAGTGGCAAGGAAATGCAAAGCAGCTACCCATGGGGTGGAGGGCAAGGCCACAGGAAGGGAAAAAGTTGATAAGGATTCCCATAGGATCAGTTACGGCAATTCTCGTGGTTTCCCATCACCGCATGGGTCAGGGCAGACAGGAGGAGAGGCCGTGACTGAAGTCCGATGTGACAAACCATGGCAAAATAGAGGCTAATCAGAAAGAACAACACCTAAATCTAGTCAGTGATGGATGTTCCATGAATGCCAAACCCTGAATATGCTACAGAAATTTAGTTTCAAACACCGCTTTGGCTGCCTAGGATGTTCATGACCCTTGCTGCCAAAAGGAGCTGCAGAAGCCATGTCCCACAGTGCCATCAGGTTCTCAGACACAGGTGATGGCAATTCCCAGGTGAGAAGGATAATTGTAAGGGGACATAGTAGCCACCAAAATGCTGGGCACTAGCCACCTTTCCATGCCAGCTAGGACAGTGCAGCTCTGCTCAATCCTGAGCACTTGTGACCCAAAGCACCACTTTCACGTGAACCCCTGTGGCTGTAGGCTCGGCCGTGGCTGGGGAAAGGCAGAGCTGTGTCTGAGGAGAAGTAGGCTGTGCAAGGACACGCTGCACCTATGCGACTCCTGCTTGGGCAGCACAGACCGAGGATTGGCAGCAAGGCACGGGCAGCACAGGCTCAGACACCCCTCTCCCTTTCCCAGAGCAGGGTTGCGCCACTGACAAACCATCACTGAAAGAATCTGCTTCGAGCCTACGTGTGTGCTCTGAAAAGCACAGGAAACCAGTGGGAATTAGCAGGGAGAAAAATTAAAAGGTAGAAAAATTCTCCAGCTCTGTGGGATAGGTTGGGGGTCAGGCAGGACCCGGAGCTGAGCTTTCCCATCTCAGGGCAAAGCACCACGACCAGCAGGCAGCACAAGCCAGGCTTCTGCTGGGTTACTCTCTTTCTGGCCTGACAACCTGTGTTCTCCGTTGCACATTTTCAAGAGATAAAACCCTCACTGACTCTTGCAAAACTCTTGGAAAGCTGGCTCATAAACTCTTGCAAATGGGATATTAAACTCCCTCAGGCTAGGGTGGGCTTCAAATGGAGGTCTCCCAGTCCCAATGCTCCATTTGGTTGGTACGGAGCAGACAGGCAACGGCTGCAGACTGAGCTCACCGGGCAGGGCAGGCGAGGACAGCAGCTGGCAGGAGCGATGGTAGCCTTCATGCCTGCACAGACAGAGGCAGCTCCTGGTGCATGAGCAGAAGGGTCTCCTCCACCCCAAGTCATCCTGTCTGTTTTGGTCGTCTTCTGTCACTGATCAGTATCACCCATTCGCCCTCCATGCTGCACGGATACTCACCCAGGGCTGCAGCACCAGCCTTCCCTCACCAGAACAAAGCCTATGGGACTTGGGTGAAGCCAGAAGCCTGTCCCAAATAGCTCCTGCCCCACCCAAAGCACCCCTCCCAGCTGGAGCACCCTGGGGCACCTGCTTCTGCAGCATGGGGGACGTTACCGCATCTTTCAGACGCAGTGGCTGGCCCTGCTTGTGCTGGCGCAAGGAAAGCTGACCCCATGGTCTTGCAGAACTGTCACTGTCACTAGTGTTTTGACAAACACATCGCATGTTGACCTTAATTTCATTTAAAGTCACTAAAAATGGACACCATCGCCACATATCTCATGAACCATGAATTCCCAGAATCCCTCTAAGCCTGGAGGATGAGGGAAAGCTTTTTTTAGCAAACATCCCCTGTGATCGGCCCTTTGAACTCAACACAGTGGATGTTCCGAGTGTCTGCAAAAAGCTGACACAAACCAGACTATCAGCTTGGGGCTTTGTCCTGATTGTAAATTGTCTGTGTGGCTTGGACAGGACTTTTCCTGCTCCCAGGCATGCCCAAAAGCCAGGGGGCCAGACCCTACTCCCCACGCCCAGCTGCTCCGAGCCACAGTGGCACAGAGGCAATGATGGAGGCAGTGATGCTGCCAGCAGCCTGGAAGGTGGCTGTCGGACAAGCTTCGAGCCTGCACTGTCCCTCTGCTGCTGCAGGGCAGCTGGAGTGCTAGAGGCACGGCCCAACGCCTGCAGGTCAGTGTAGGCAGCAGTGGTAGAGTTGGGGCTACTGGGTCTTTCGAACAACCATCTGCTCTTATGGGGCACTGGAAATTCCTCCAGTGAAGGCAAAAGGTCTAATTAAAGAGCTTATAAGTAAATCTGCTGGGCTTTTTTCTCAGAAATAGACATTATCCAGAAATAAGCACTCTACAAAAGCCAGAGGCTAGTGTCACACCCTCTGCAGAAAGCTGCTATTTCAGAAGTCCTAGGTATGAAAAAGAGCTGGAATAAAATACACCGGTTACACTGCATCAAGTTGCAACTAAACTAAATTACCAGCACAGCTAAGCCTTCTGTGACACCAGGAATGGTGCTCCTTGCTGCATTCCTCCCAGTGTTCACCAGCTTCTGGTTTCACTTACTTTCAGCTTTCCTGAATACAAAAGGAGTGGGCTGACATTTTCCCTGCCAGATGTCCACAGTGAAAGTTTTCCTGCAGAGTTCAGCAAAATACATCCACAATTTCCGAGACCAAGGCTTGGAGCGTGTGCACTGCAAGGAGCTGCAGGGGGCACATCCCACACACGCACAGCCGAGGGCAGGCCAGGATCTTTTCAACAGAGCAAACGGACCCAAAACCAAAATGAAGACCACAGGATCAGTGCTGATACCAGACTGTGCCACACCGATCTCCCTGCAAAGCCCTTCTCTGTGATTTAGTCTCTAAGGTCATCCAAGCCCAGGCACCAACCTGGGATCCAGCATGGGACGACCCGCTGATCTCCCAGCCCTCCTTCAGAGACCTCACAGTGTCTCCACCACACGCTGGGCTTGCCCCTCTTTTCCAGGGACACCTCCCAGGCTGATGAGCAGCTTTGTGCCTCATGTCACGGACCCAGGCGTGGGTGCAGGGGGTAGGTCTGGCACCCCTGAGTCAGACGGACTCCTCAGACCAGCTCCCCATGAGTGCGGTGGGCAAGGGAACAGTGCCAGGTCTCCTCTGCCCTGCAGCCAGTGGGACCTGGGCAGGCGAGAGGCTCATTAGCCGGCTGAGGCTGAACCCAGGAGTCACAGCTGGCAGTGGGACATCTGGTGCATCTGTCCCAGCAACTGGTGGGAAGACCCAGAAAGGGCTGGAGGGTCCACAGCTTGCTGGAGGACCTACAGCAGTGCACACCAGGGTGCTGGTCACTCCCAGTAAGTGGGGAACATGAGGGGGCCAAATGCCAGCAAATTACACCTCAAGTTCCACAGTTATGTCGTGACGGCTCCCACATAACCCCAGCCATGTGACAACGAAATGTCTAAGCGCCAGCAGGCCATGTCAGAGGACGTGGGAGCCAAGGGTGTTACACAGAGTGGGCAACATTGATCCCCAATATTTTCTGAAAAAAAAGCACAGGATGCATATTTCTTGGCCTCACAAGAGCTGGACAGGGAAAAGTAGCCTTTTTGTTTCACTTGTTGAATGCCTGGATCTCTTTTCTCAGCTCAGAGCTCTGGACTCCTTGCTCCTCTGGCCTCAGTGCTATCCCTGCCTCTCCCCCACCACCATGTCATCAGTGGCAGAGCCAGTAGGATGCTCCTGCAAACAGGCCAACGGTGCATGGGGTGGGACACGGGGGCTGCTGGCTCACACCATGGTACAAGATCGTCCCTTGTGAAGAAGCAC